AAAAAATGCATAGGAAAGTAAATATGTCGGAAAAGATACCAAATCGGACTGTGCACGCCCTTTCTAGTTAAGGTGCTCAACCTTCTAAATTACATACAAATATTATTCTCGTTTTTTCGCAACCGATAGGTTTTACCTTTCATGTTCGAGGAAGATTAAAGGATTCCATAACATGCAAAGATCTCTGCTTGGTAGCGTAACTGCTAATACAAATTCATATGCATAAAAAATAGTGCATATTCTTTTACCTGATGCATAAGTAGTGTCTTGTATAACGGTAGGTGAAGTAGCAGTAAACAGGGTATATAAAAAAAATCATTGATTGCGTTGAAGGTATATCTTTTTTATTAATCCTCTGTGACTAGGATTCAGGGATATTCGAAACTTTTTTGCAACCGGAGGTTGTCCTTAGGTCAAAAAACAACGATTTCCCTACCACTGCTCCTTTTACGTTGGCAGTAGAAGAACTTATCGTACTCTATCGAGTAAAATTATTGGCACCCTCAGCAGCTCTGGACAGATAAAAAGATTGTTCAGATAGATGAGTAGCTAAGAGGAAAATTTTAAATATGCAGAAACAGAACCCACTTGACGTTTCCTCTGTTTTATATTATTGCTCCATTGTCAAATGCTCTGTATTGGTTCTGCTAAGATTTATCTGAGCTATATTTTTATCGAAGGGTCCTTCCTCTCCAAGTCTATGATCATCCCTTCGTGGTGTCTAATGAAACATACTTTCAGACTCTGACCATCTTCCTTCTTCAAAGCGATTGTAGTGGCGAATCTTCATTTAAAATCAATTAGCTTGGCTTTGAACGTTAATGAACTGTCTTGGTAGACAACCGAGAATTCAAATTAGGAGTTCTTAGGGTATTGGTTGGTTCAAGACAAGCACATGTGCTTCTCGGGGTGTGTTATAGAAATCTAATCATAAAACTATTGGATCCTCGAAACTAGTAACATAAACCAGGAGTTGCAGTAGAACCCGAAACTTGAACATAATACATATTTTGCAGTTAGAAGGAAACTTCTCCCTGGCGAGTCAAAAACAATTACAGGCTCCAATAGTGGCCCGAGTTCCATAAATTGTTAATCCTCTTGTGCTCTTTTCGATTTCTTCAAATAAGCGTGCTCACTGGCCTAAACGAGTCCTACACTTATTACGGTGACAATATATTATATTGAATATGTATTTTACAGGAACAAGTATACTCTTGATGGGCCTCGGTCGTAATGTGTGATTCTAACATACCTCATGGAGTAGTGTCGACTCCATCGCGGATGTAATGCATTGGAAAGTCATAGATGACGATGATTATTTCTTTACTAAATCCAAGTTTTCATAGACAGATCCAGAAGCCTTGTATAAGTCTGCGGCAATGACACCTTCCTTAGTTCTTTCGTTGTCCTTCAACTGTTGTAACACGAGTCTGGTTCTCTCTCTTTCCTTGTAGCCATGCAAGCATTCATTGTAATCGTCAAACAAAGGAGTACATTCCTTCTTGGTGGAAGTTTCAGCGGAAGTGAAACAAGCGACCAAAGTTTGGAACTCGTAGAAACACTTTCTGGTTCCTCCAGATCTTGAGTAGGGTTGCATTTTGGTCTCTTAGGGTGAGTTGGTGGGTTCTTTTTCAGTCAGCACATTTTGAGAACGACGATTGGCCGGAAATGCGGTGCGCGCACGCACAAATATTCAAAGGTGATACCTATAGATAGTGAACAAAAGTAGTAATTCTAAGGTCGGGGGAGCCAAATCGGACAGGTATAGTATTTTACCGTCTCCGCTACATTTGAAATAATCTGTTCAGGATAATATTGTTCCTAAATAAATTTCATACATACATCTACAAGGTACCTCATAGGATTGTTCGGTTCCTCTATTCATTCACTAATATACATAAGCAAGCATTTCTCTAATGCAGTCCTTCACGATGTAGTAAAGGGGACCCATTGAGCCATCAATTACAATGTCACCGGTGTCGTCCCCTTCTGCTGAGGAATATGCCACTTTTCTGATGATCAATTTATCATTCACAACCAAGGTACCTTCACCTTTAAACTCAGCATTCAAATTTCTACTGAGAAGTTTCTTCTTTAATTCTGGCAATCTGATATTACCGATGGCAAGTTTTGGCCCTGTTTTGGTTTGGGCGACACTCACAGCAGTATCCGAGGTCTGCTCCCTAACCTTTTGTAGATATTCAGCTTTCTTGATTTTCTTAAGAGTGAAAAGAGTGGACGAACTCAAATAATCACTGAGTTCTCTTTTCTTCTTGTTTTCCAAGTTTTGGTTTCTTAATTCTAATTCCCCGAAAACCTGGACCACTCTATAGCTACCATCGATATTCTGCCAGTTGAGTTCTTCAACAAGCTCTTCATCAAGCTGAGCTTCGAAGTTGCTTAAACCGATACCATTATCCTCCTCATCTTCTTCTCCTCCATCACCACCAATCTTGATTGCATGATTGTTTGCAACAGGAACAATGTTCATTTTTGTTGGCCCAATGGATACTCCAGCACCAGTACCGGAAATCCCACTACGGATATTGGTCAAAGAAAGATATCTCGAAGATGTGAAGAGATCCTTCTTTGTTTGGTCTTTCTTCTGATCGTCCTGTTGCTGATTGAACATAGATTGAACACTCAAAAGACCGTTCAATTCTTTGTCTTCTTGATCATATACTGTGAAATCTGGCAATAAAAGTACATTGTATGGTTTTAATGACGACACGATAATACTCAAAGATCTCATATCCACCAAACCCGCCAAGTCGACGAAGGAGAGACCACATCTTACGCTGAGTTGAGAACTCTTTGAGTATGAAGAACCAGCTTGAAGCGGTATACGCTTCTTAGGATTAAACAAGGTATCCAAGTTCTTTTGTAATAATTGATTGTTCAACATTTCTTGAGGAGTCAACTTGTTTTGATTCTTACCTTGGCCCCTTTTACCTCTATCCCTACCATTCTTATCATAGTCATCACCCCATTTTTTCTTTTCGTTTTGCTCGAACTTCTTTTTGCCTTCCAAGATAATCTTGCTGTTCGAGACTTCATCAGTTTTCTCGAAATCTTTCAAGTCAATAACTTCACCATAATCATCGAATTTTTGTTTATGTGAAGTAACAAAATAAGGAAACATTGCTTGTCTTGGCTTTAATTTGTGAGTAATTTTGATATCAAGAGGTTTATTTTGCTCTAAAGATTTTTTAATGTGATCGGTCAAGAATGCTTCATGGGAGGTCACGTCTAATACTGGATTTGCTGGTAAGTTAGTCACCTTTGTACTTGATGCTTTACTCTCAGTAGTACCATCGGTGGTGCCTTGTTCTACTTGAACTTCTTCTTCTTCCTCTTCTTCACTTGAAATACCGTCATCACTGGAATCATCATCGATACCATCAGCATTCAACAAGTTTTGGTTTTTACGATCTCTCACTTTAGCTGCAAGTTTTTCTTTTCTTTCAGCATGGATACGTTTTTGGTATGCTTGAAGTTCAGCCCCGTTAATTGGTTCTTCTCTGGTCCAGTCACTAATTGAGACTTTTCTCTCTAATGGTACTGCTATACCATCTTCAACTTTTCCACCATTCTTTTTCTTTGTCAAGTCATACCATTCTTTGTACAAGATTGAACTCAAAGTATTATCAACACCGAATTGAGACCGTTCGGTCAATAAAATGGTGGTTTTCTCGTCTTGACATAAATGTTGAAATACTTGTGAGGACAATTCTCCATTACGCAAGTCATTACCTGAACAGAAAATAATCTTTGGCCCAGATAACTTGATTAATTCATTTGGGTCTCCTAACAAATCAACCTTTGACGGGTCAAATGGCAAGTTGGTTTCATCACCACCTCCACCACTCCACTCTCTCAAGCTGGAGGACATCCAGTCTACAAGATTTGATGCATAACTCAAAATCTTAGTCCCAGAGTATGATATGAAATAGATAGGAATAGGGGCTCCCTGTAAATGTTCATCAACAAGTCTGAATAATTCAAAGAATCTTCCCGAAAGGGTTGTTGGAAGAAGTACCGAACCACCATTTGCTAAAGTTGCATCAACAAGCTGTAAGAACTTTTCCACTCTCCTTTTGTGTGGCATTGAAGAACCAACATCCGAACTGGTGATGAAGGCGGTGGGTCTCAACAAGGACGGAATAGGAGCACCTGTGGCGGCAGACAAGAAGTCTGCGTTGTTCAAAAACAGATCTCTCGAATGGTTCCACGCTGGAGCGTAAATGACTTTGTCTAGTCTCTTTGTTATCAACCAGAAGGTCCCTCCCAAGGTGTGTCCAGAATTATATGGAGTGATTACGGCTTTGCTTTCCAGCAAAGTGGTCGTTTGGAGGTATTTGACTATGTTGACTTTATCAAACCACTCATCGATATCATCTAACTCTAATATGGATGAGCTTAATGGTCCAAGGACACCGTTGGTTCTATAGTACTCCACCGTGGATATTCTTCCCAATTGGTTGACAGGTAACGTAGAGTAGACTGAAATAGATGACATAAGCACAGGGAACTTCACACATAACAAAATGTATCCACTTAGGGACTCTGGGGTGGAGTGTGATAGTAAAATGACCTGTACCTCACGAAGATACTTCTCTATGAACAAGACCGAATCGGGGTCTTTCCCATTCCAAACAGGGTCTGCCAATATTTTGAACTCACCATCGAACGTGATGTAGGAAGCCTTGAAGGAGAGGTCATTCTCCTTGGGGCTTATTAGTGTGAAGGTGAACATTGGCGGTTGTTAGATGGCGATGTATGTTGAAAAAGAAAGATATACAAAGGTCACGTGCAAAGTTTTTGAACTTGCCAGATAACTGGGTCATAACGGGTTTCAGAACTAGATGAAGATTCACCTGTATAGCTATTGATAAGCCCATTTTCTGCAGGAGACAGCGATGCCCACAGCGCAGGGATTGGGTTGGGGTTAAAATGCCTTACATGCGATTTACAAAGATTTATTTGCGAATTAAATATAACGAGAGAAATTAAGAGTCCATAGTATAAATGCAAAGATCAACGAAGGTTGATGCTGGTTCTAGTGTGATAGGAGATTAAAGTTTCAGCTTGAGTTAATCCTGGTAATTCATGGGTAGTGTTGATTCTCTCCAACGAATTTCTAGCCCCAGTGTTGTATTCACCTTCTTGAATCATTCTTCTTCTCAACTCGGTAATATCAATAGGGTGCTTGAAGTTCTCATTGAGAGTATCTCGTCTAGATCTACTCTGGGATTTCAGCTTGGATCTAGTTATGGTAGCTTTTCTCTTTATGGACTTGAATGTCTTTTTGATAGGGCTCGTGGCTCCGATGTCTTCTTCGTGGAATTCAGGGAATTGTTCACGCTCCAACTTTTGCAAGGTCTCAGGATCAGTATCGATAAGCTGGTTTAAAATTCTGTGTCTCTCAATATCTTCAGCGTCGGTGGGGTCATATCCAGCAGGGTAATCGTCAAACTGACCCTTACGGACCATTTCCCTAACAATATCAATGTCTCTTGGCTTGAAGTTAGATTTTAAGAAATCATATGTGAACCTTGGTAACAAACAAAGAATCACACTGATGAAGAAAACACACCAAACTGACAAGGTTCCTAATGTTTGAGCACCGGCTTTGTAGAACTCTTGAGCCATTTGCTGTCTAGCACTCCAGGCACCAGCCCAGAAGAAGACAAGGAGAATGGAAATAGCATCAATAAGTAAAGTCAACCAATCCCACCTATATTGACGGAGAAGAACATAAATGTCACAAGCAGTCACAGTTACCATACAGACAGTGATACCAATCCAGAATCTATGATCAACTGACAATCCTTGAGGGTTCTGGAAGGCTCTGTAGTAAAGCAAGTAGGGGAAGAAAAATGCAATAACAGATTGGTATAAACCATCAAACATATACCAAGAAAACTTGAATTGAGACCATTCCGCACCGAGGATTCCACTTCTATAAAGCTGAGGAACCAACAAGGAAACAGTATCAGAGACATCTTGATCCAAAACAGCCAAAACAATAACAGGCAACGAAGTGAAGGCCAAGTTAAAGAACATCAAAAAGGTATATTCGAAAAGATATGATCCATCGAAGTTGTTGTAGATACCAAACCAGAAACAGGTGAGTGTAAAGGTAACGTTCTTATAAAAGAAACATGGTACCATCTCGGCCAATCTCTTGTAAGACCATCTACCGTGAACCAAGAGCAATCTAGTTAAAAATCTGAATTGACCAATTGCGTAATCCGATGACATAACGGCTTGTCTACCTTCTTCGCCCGCAATTCCAACTCCAACATTGGCAGCTTGAATCATTGCAACGTCATTGGCACCATCACCGATTGCCAAAGTCATAACACCAAGATTATTCTTTACCATCTTGACAACTTGTGCCTTTTGAGCAGGTGAAACACGACAACAAATGACCGACTTACACTGCTTACCAAGTAACAAGAATTTTTCCTGTAGTTTGATAATCGAAGGGTCATTTGGTTCTTCAACAGCAAGACTTCTGAAGACCAACGACAAAGCAGCACCATCAATAACAAGAGCATGATTGGCAGAGGGAGCAGAATGATCTTTTCTAGCCTCTTTGATGAGTCTATCAACTTCTTCATCAGAATCGTTTTGGAGATAACCGAAATTTTCTTGCAAGTACTTAGTAATCAATCCATCAATATATGCAATGTTCTCTTGGTCTCCTTCTTCTGGTCTGACAACAAGCAATTTCATATTATTCTCCAATAAATTACAAGAGAAACCAATGTTAATAGCGGTTTCAATTCTGTCACCAGTCAAAACCCACAATTTGATACCCGCTTCACCTAAAATTGCGATGGAATCAGGAACACCAGCTTGAAGCCTATCTTCGATGGCTGTACCTCCAAGTAAAATTAAATCAGTTTCGATTTCTTCAGCCAACCTTTCAATAATTTCATCTCTAGAATCATCAATAGAAGCATGCGCATCCTTGTAGCGTCTGGACCAGTCGTGATAAACCTTTGGATCAAGTTCACGTTGGGCAATACACAAAGTTCTCAATCCTTCCTTAGCATAATCTTCAAGGTGTAAAGCAGTCTTATGGACAACTTCATTGGAGTTAGCACTTCCATCTAATCTTTGAAAAATGACGTTATCAGCACCCTTAGTGATAAGTAAGTACTTATTTTCAGGAGTACGGATAATACACGACATTCTCTTTCTAGCAGAAGTGAACCCAATTATATCCACGAGTTCATATTCGGAATCTTGTCCATATTGAGCGATATGAATTAATTTCCTAGCACGATCCTTAAAGACAATACCGACATCACGCGCAACAGCCACCAATGCAGCTTCATCCGGAGACTCAGCTTTGAAATCTCTTAATTCAGGATCCAACTCATTGGGTTCCGTGACAACGGTATGACATAAAGCAAGGGCCTGCATGAAAGTGATGTTAGCTTCCTTTTGCTTGGAGCCATTCTCGCCCAAGATCGTATCTTTGACATAAGCTTCTGATACAAAAGTGACATTATCCTCTCGCAATTGGTCATTCGAGGTCCTGTTGAAGAGAATCTCCAACATACCTTCTTTATCTTTTTGGATTAGTCTTTTCCATTTTTCAGCTTCGACGACCGTGTCCAAACCGTCTCTTTTATCCAAACCTTGCTTTGCTTCTGTATAGGCTAAACCATAAGATTTACCGTTGATGGTGCACTTTTTGAATTCCATAACGTTCTGAGTAAGCGTACCAGTCTTGTCACTGAATACGTATTCAATCTGACCAAGATCGTCACTGATATTCCAGGCTTTGGGGATACATGGAAAGTCCAATTTCTCATAGTACATTTTCATATCAGAGAAAATGAAGAAAGCTTGAAGTGTTTTGATGATTTCCACAGAAATGTACAACGAGATCGGAACAAGGGATTGATAAATAATAAGAGCAACAAAAAAAGCCAAAACACCATTTCCTGCAGCTGTAGGAGAGTATGGTTCGAAATCAAAGTATAATCTTGAAACATCCTTTTTGTTGTAAAAAGTTCCATTAACGACACCAGAAATTAAACAAAGGATAAACAAAAGCAAAAAGTTGATGATAACCGAGAGGTTTAATTCACGAGAAATGAGGGACGACTTTGTTGGAGTGATACCTGAATTCAACATAATTTTGGTTTCAGAACCAGTGTAAACCACCAAACCAATAACCCACTTTGTATTTCTAAGCATACAACCTCTAAGAAGAACATTATCATTAGTCACAGCTTCTTTCTCATCAGGGTTAACTAATTGTCCATTCAGATCGAAGTTCTCATAATGGATAGTACCTCTGAAGGAGTACAAATTTGGATTTGGTGCATCGCACTCAACCCAAAATTTGGTGCTCAAAAAATCATTGGAGTGTTTCAAATGGTCGGCACCTCCTGCTTGGAGACAGTTCTTAGTCTTCAAGTTGGTTTCACCATCCAAGTTTTTGGTTTCAATATAGCAGTTTCCTTCGATATCGGAGGAAGAAAGAACGATAATATCAGCTGGAACTTCTTCGTTTGCTCTGATTCTGATAATATCACCCATGGCCACGTCCTTCCAACGTCTGTTTTTGAATGCTGCTCTCAAATTTTCATGGGCGAGGTTGTCTTTTTGAAGGCTAGGATTGAGTAGAGTATTAGCAATAGGCTTGGTTGGAGGGGGAGGAGGACCGAGTCTTGACCTTCTGGACTGCATGGACTTCTTTGGTGAGGAAACACTTGGTCTACCCTGGGGCAAATTGGCAGAGTTGTAGGAGTAGTCCGATACGATAGTACTCACTCTACGAAGTGCGTTCTCATTATCGTAATGTTCTTGTCTGATAAATTCGGCCCTCTTTTCCTTTCTTGCAAAAACCATGACACAACCCTTGGCAATTCCATGGGTGACTTTGCCAGTGATTCTGGAACACCGTTTTTTGAATCTTCTCCACAAGGAGACCTCGTTGACAAGGACGTTGGGATTCTCCAAGCCCTGGAGCAAGTGGATGGGGGAGTTGTTCAATTGCGAGTCACTGATAGCTCTTCTATAGTCCTCAAACGCATCTTTTATAGCGGTGATACACACAATCACAATCAAGGGAACTGCGGCCAACCCCGGAGAGTCCACACCAAAGATCTGGAATGCCCCCAAGATGACCAACACAAGGAAATAGACGTTGGCCACGTTTCGGAACTGGAACAAGATGTTCTTGGGGAGAAATGAGAGCGGGGTGTACTTGGTGGTTCTGATCTTGTTTCTAGGATAGGTCAACACCGGGTGTTGGTTGGACCCATCGCCTCCCACTGTCATCTGGGGAGGAAGGGGCTGGTTGACGTAAATGTATCTGGGCACCTTAACATAGATTTGCTGGAGGTAGTCGGGACGGTCGACCAAGCCCTTGTCGAACAAGAACCGCTTGACCTTGTCTTTGAATGTTGGGGGTGGAGCCGCCACCAAGTCTTGCACCGTGCAAGCCTTGGTGTCGTCGGAAGCCGACGAGCCAGACGACGTCACCTTGTGGTTGTGGTTATTGGTGGACGCAGACTCCTGTTCCTTCACGAGCTGGCCGTCGTCTTTGGACGTCAACGACGAGGGAGGTAGCTCGGACATTGGCTGGTTAGGGAGCAGCAGTGGTGGAGTGACCTACGGAGGGAGATGCAGCAAGCAGGGGGGGGTAGTATTGGAGCAGGGTAGCACGATAGGGAGTAGCGATGGTACCGTGAGGCCTTGACAGTCCTAGGTCCTGTCTCTATGATGAATAGCCAGTGAGGAATTAATAGTGCGGGTATTTGCGGAAGATTGTGCGATGTTATGGATTCGCAGTGTTTGTAATGGGATTTCTAAGCTGCGATGGAGTGGCACGGGAGGTGGAGGAGGAGGTCGTGGAAGAGGAAGAGGAAGAGAGGGAAGAGAAGCAGATGAGGGAGATGAAGGAGATGGCTAGTTCGTGAGGAGTCGAGATGGCAGTGTAGTGGCAGCGACGGGACTGGTATGCAAATCCACTAGCCAACCTGGTGACTCGCATTGTTCGGTTCGGGTTTGCCCCAACGGGGGGATCCGTAGTTGCCGAATTCGCAGAGATACGGCGGAGAGGCAAGGCTGGGGCACGGGGTGGCGGAGACAATTTGCGAAACAAGGAGCTAGGGGCAGAGGTGGGGGCAGCAGGGTCCTGAAGCGGGACTAGGCGGCGTTGGGGGCTTTGGTGACACACGTTTAGTGGGCGGAGATTGCTAGGGGATGTAGTCACGTGGGTGACTCAGCAGCACTGGCGACTCTGAGCGCTCCTTACTATAAGTGATAATCACTCATGCTGGACTCGCCATGGCTATGCTTATTGTCCTTGAGTTCTTTATGGGGTATACGGGGGTCAGGTGTCGAGGAATCAGCACACAGGTCTGCTTCTTCCAGTGCGTCCCAACGACAGGTTGTAGCATCGGTGCAGACTTTCTTCACCTCTCTTAAAGACGAATGGCAAAACTAGCCAGTAGTCTTATTTCTCTACGACATGTGATGGAAAATAGCTCATTAACCACCCCTCAGGTATCTCCCCCAACAATAATAATTGAACGTTATCATCTTTTCTTGGTTTAGGCAGTATTCTAGAGTTGAAGAGACTAACGAAGCAAATACCAACACTATTTATCGGTATGTCGCTAAAAGATATTTCAGTCCTTAAATCATCTACGGATGTTGGTTCGAAAACAAAGCTACTTTTTTCTTCCAAATGCTAGTCCTCTACCACAATGTACATCGGAAAGCAAGCAATTTCACCGAGCTATTACACTGATAGCTGATTGTATAACTTAAGGTTCAAGGATAGTGTAGAATTGAGGTTATCCAACGTATTTGCCTTTGGCAAAAAATACCCTTTTAAATTCACCACCCGTGGTCTAGTCAAACCAGATATCCAATGTGGTTTCATCAGCTTCGTCCAAGAAGAAGTTCTCATCGACAAATTGAGCAAATCGTACAGTAAAAAATGCAGCCATACACCACGAGGAGGATAACTTAATCCTAGTCATATCTTTGACAATTTGACAAGCACAAAAGACATAAAAGGCAACTTGTGGGACTGGGAATTGTCAACTCGAACGACTCCATCAGATAATTTTGCAACCCATGACGGGCTCAAAACCCCATGCACTATTTCCAACAATTATCCATCGGGGAATTGACTCAGATCAAACTTCCTCCAAGTCCTTCTTTTTCTTTCCTCATCCAAAGCCAGCAACACAGGATCTGGGTCAGAAGATGAATCCTTAAATCTTAAAGGGTATCAACCAAGACTTATTATTTTAGTTGGTGAAATATTAATATTCTTTTCATTATTCTTCTTTCATGTCAGTACAAAATTATTAAGAAAGATTCTCACAAAGAGTAGATATGGCTTTGGCAGATAATATTAGTTTGTGATGCTTAAAGCAAAAAAAAATACCAGGTGTCATCCACTAGCGAACTTTCAAGGGGTAGCCATAGGAGAGCTGGCCTTATAGTATGAAAAGAGTATTCCTGAATTGAAAATTATCACATTTTGTCAGTGTGGGTAGTATTGTAGTTCCGAAAGGCAAGCGAAATACATGTCAACGGTTGCAAGGGCCGTGTAAAACGTTTGCTTTTCGACTGTTCCGCCCTCGTCACTTTGTTCAGTTGGTTTGGAATTATACGTTTTCCAAAGTCGGCGGATGCTTGTATCTGTGAATGAAGCCGAAAGATTTCATCGTCGACGGTGGTATCAATTGTTTCTACAAGCTTTTCTAAAACTCATGTCGGATAAATCCATCTCATGTCTCGGTCTGAGGAATACTAGTCTTGATCGGACATTTTTCGTTTTCAACAATTGGCAGATCTACGACACTCAATCTGTTGAATAGCATTCCTTCTTCCTGGCCTGAATCTCCGGAAGTCTAGTTTCGCATCAGTCTGTTCAAATATTGTGGGTTTCCACCCTGTCGTATTAGAGAGGTTAGCACGTGACCATTTCCCAGCACGTCACCTGACCCGCGACTCGACGTCGACGTCGAGTTTTTTTCACTTTTCATTCCAGCAATTATCCACCACTACAAACTAATCCAACATGTCTATCGAAGAAATCCCCCAAGGTGCTGACGTCAACGTCCTCCCAAAGAACGAAAAGAAGGCCAGAGAATTGATCAAGAAGCTCGGCCTCAAGCAAATCAAGGGTATCACCAGAGTCACCTTCAAGCAAAGAGGTAACTTGATCTACGCCATCGACTCCCCAGATGTCTACAGATCCAACGCTGGTACCTACGTTGTTTTCGGTGAAGCCAAGGTCGATGACATGAACAAGAGAATCGCTGAAGCCCAAGCTGCTCAAGCCAGCCAAGAAGCTCTTGCCAAGTCTGCTGCCAACGCTGCTGCTCAAGACGATGACAAGTCTCCAGAAGCTATCACTGCTGACTTGCAAAAGGCTTCCTTGCTCGACAAGTCCGAAGAAGCTGAAGAAGAAGACGATGGTGAAGTCGATGAGTCTGGATTGGACCCAAAGGACATTGACATCATTGTTGAACAAACCCAAGTCCCAAGAGCTAAGGCTGTCAAGGCTTTGAGAGCTCACAAGGGTGACATGGTCAACGCCATCATGGACTTGTCTTAAGTGCTAGATGCTCGTATATAATCTAATGTACACCTTCGCAGTGTCTAACAACCCCTGTATTATGAACGACTGGTAACTGCAATTGCTATTTAGTTTGCTAACTATTATGTTCTATCTATGAAGAGCTTTTGAACGACCTTTCCCATGTTTATATTAACGTTCTGTGTCATGCAAGTGCTTGGAATGAATACTACATTCTTGCAAATACTTCACTACTTGAGAACATTGGCCACGCTACTCATTCCCAACGCGCGGGATCTAACGTTCAACGCCAGTGCTAGTAGAGGTGGCACTGGTGCTTGAGGGCACTATCTCCACTGTTTCGGGCTCAATTTGTTCATCATTGGCAACAGGCTCTGGCGTCACCGCCTTGCTGTCTCCTTGCTCGACTGGCAATGCCTCCTTAAGCTCGTTCAATTCCTTATCCCAGGCACTGGCTCCGTTCATGACCCCACATTTCCAGCAGGCATACTTGACTTGCGATGGGTCCGCACAGTTAGGTGGTGCCAATCCATTGTGTGAGTAGCAATTCATGCATATCAATGCAAACCTGCTCTCTACGGATTCGCTATTGTCAGAGCCAATAAGAAGATCGAGAAGACGGTCCTGAACTGTCCGAGGCTTCTTGTTGTCGATAGAAATTCCAGTTCCTTTGGGCCCTATGTTACCTGGACGGTTTTGGGCAATAGTCTCGGGCTTGGACAAGTTCAACTTGGCAATCTCCTCCTGTTGCCTGGCATTTAAGTTGTTCACTGTGGCAGGGGGTTTGGCCACGGGCTTGTTGGAGGCGGGCTGGAGCGGCTTATCCTTCTTCTTTTCGTCCTCATTACCATATTTTGTCAACAAACGGTTGGTGGTGTTGAAGTTGGTGATTTTCTTCAACTCGTCAATTTTGGCAGTGTGCTTCTTGCGCAAGGCTCTCAATCTGTTGGTACGGTTATTGACCACGACCCCGAACACCCATTGGATCAACCGGACCAATCCGTAGCCCACCACAGGGTAAAGGCCTAAGAAGATCAATTGGCGTCCAGACTGGCCCTTCAAGTAGATTTGAATCTTGTTCAGTCCCACCACCCCGCGGGGCACCTGGCTGTAGTTGTAGATGTTGAGAATGATGTATCCGAGAACCAAATAGCGCACCAAGGCACTCAGGAGCTTCTTGGAGCGGGACTGGAGTCCAGCGATTTGTTGCTGGGTGTGGGAGATGTTATCGGTTATGCCTGTCAAGTCCTTTTCGAAGGACTCCGGGTCGAATCCTTTGGAGAAGATTCCAAAGACCATAGTGGATGTGGGGTTATTGCTAGGATGAGATACTGGCTTGCGTTATTAGGATGAACGTACTGGCTAGTATCCTTGAGTGGTGGTTGGTCCTCTTATGATAGTACTGGCTAGTAAAGATGAACGTAGTGCCTGAGAAATGGTACTGGCTGGTATTAATGGTACTGGCTGGTATTAATGGTACTGGCTGATATTAATGGTACTGGTATTCTTTGATGACTGGTCTTACTCCTCTAAATGATTGGCACTGGCTGGCACTAGAGTACTAATTGGTATCCTTGGAATGATAGCACTGGCTGATAACCCTTGACAATGGTACTGAAATCCGAGCTACGCCTTCAACTAGAATTGTATCTTGTCACAATGAATGCTTCACTTAATCAATCGTCCCCAATTGTGATTTACTGGAGACGATATCGCTGGCGGTTGCTGCCACTGAGCGCGTGCCAGTATGGGCCCGCTGACATAAGCAGAGTCTACTACGGGATGGATGTTGTCGTGGTGGCAGTGAAAACGCTGCCCCAGCCTCTAGTACTATGCGAAGGCCAGAATGGTCTCCAGTACCGAGCCAACCGCCAGCATCGTCTCCCGGACCCGTCGTGCCGTCGCTGTGGTGCCACTGTGGTTGAGCTCATCGGTCGCACCAAAATGGAACTAACCAGAAGTTGTAGCCACCACCCGATCTACAGGGATCCTCCACGTACACCCACCAGCACGACAGAGGCCCGACGACAAGTGTACGCACACGCACACCCACCAGCATGACATACACCATAGGCGACAGAAGCATAACGCTCGACGCGTTGAGCGAAGACGACCACCAGCTCATCCTAGCCCACTCGCAAGTATTCAAGTACTGCTTGAACAACGCCGTGTACACCCTCTTGCTCAAGGTCAAGAAGGTGGTACACTTGTACAGTGACGTGATGACGATCTACTCGACGTTGTTGCGCAAAATCCCCGACTACGACGACATCACCATGATGGCCAACAAGGTCAAGATGCACTTGATGAAGGTGGAGGAGGACTTGGATGCGATTTTCGGCGCAGAAGAGGACACTGCCCCCCGTCGCCACTGGGAGAGCTTGTCGTACGAGCGATCCACCAAGAAGGTGTCGCTCTTGGTGATCCGGTCCACCATCGAGTCGTTCGACCAGATCGCCAAAACCCTCAACTGCATCGAGATCTTCTTTAACTCATTCAACAACTTGAAGAAGCTCCTCATTCCCTATCTCACCACCCAGACCATGGCGGTGTCCCGGTGCTTGGCCAAGATCCACTACCTTTTGGGCATTACCACCATCGTGGACGATATTCCCGACTTGTCACCACCAATCGTCAAGCAGCTCAAAAAAATCGAGAAGATCACCACCGGCATGGAGCGTGAGGGCCTAATTTTGGACGCTGCGTTCCTGACGTTCGAACCGTCGCTCCAGCAGTATACTCGGGTGTTGCTCGGGAAGGCTATCTTGAAGCGAGATATCAGTGATACTGACTGCCAGCTCATCAAGAGGCGAGAGGTATGCTTCCAGGCTGCCGAGTTCGTGGGCAGCATACCGTTGACGGAGGAGCAGTCTTTCAAGAAACACATCAACACCATCTACTACGCTGTGTTCGTGTTTATGGCCATGGTTAGCATAGTGGTATATAGGATTGCCCAGGTGGTTTTGGGCAAGTGAGAAGCGTGGTCTTAATAGGAAATAGTCAGAATCTGGAGGTCAGCCAGAGTGGGATATTGGGTTTGGAGCAGTGGTAGCAGAGTACTAGAAATACATATATGTACCTATTTTGAGTAGTGCTGAACGATGGTTCCTTGCTTCATCCGTGTACTGAAATGTCGGAAATAAGCGGAATTCCAATTATGAAATTGTAGATTTCTAGCAAAACTACAAAAGTGAACTCGAATAGTTACGAAAAGGCAGACTGGAAATCTTTCAAAAGTACGAATTTATCCAAAAAATGTCAATCACCAAATACAGCAATCGATATCGAACTAGATCTCAAATAATTCCTCCGCACTTTGTATAATTACCTCCGCACTAATTACCTCCACTCTGTAATTACCTCCACTCTAATTTCCGCTTTCTGTAATTACCTCTGCTGCTCGTATTATTTCCTGCTAGAGTACAACATTTTTTGGGTGCTCACTAGACATCGTCAGATTAAATACTCAAATAATATTCCAATTGCAAATGGGTGCAACTGGCCAATTTGAACCTCTGAGTTTTACAAGCTGTCTCCCGCTCTTAATTTTCCTTCTGCTACGCTCATCTTATTCCTCTGGAAAATCACAGAATTGTACCCATACCACACTCGTAATTTCATTACCCCCGATAACACCTGCCCCGTCACGCCGCGCACTGTCTGCACCGCCGTATCATTTATCCACCTCATAACTGTACCAAAAGGGACAGTCTCCAGCCTTATCTCAGACACTAACTGCCTTTTCATGACCAATGCCCAAGACATCGCCCAACAGTGACTCCCAAGGCTGCTGGGCGTTTTTAGCCACACGCGCTGGCAGGAGACCAGCAGATGGCGCAAACCGGTGCCAATTGCCACCACGAGGGCTCTACTCCAGGTACAACAGTCCTTCACGACGACTCTCTGTAATAGCAAGCACTCAGACAGATTACAGTACATTTCGTCCCAGATTACCGTCCCAGAATCCCATCGTGGATGTCTCTCTTCGCCGGTGGTACACCTTCCTGCACAGTGCCCACTGAATTCAGACGCAAACATTAAACAAGGAACCCATCTTCCAATTGACATTCCACTCTTGGTGAACCGTGCCACTCATCCCCATAGGCATTCAGGCTCCGGCAACTATCCAGCTACTACTAAAGCGCCCCTATCCGCCACAAAACCGTGCTCCCCTTACCAATCATCAGAGCTACACCGAGCGAACGAGTTATCATCACCTAGGGAACGCTATCATCCACAATGAGCAACACCCAGATATACTCGGCCACGTACTCCAATGTGCCGGTGTTCGAGTTCGTGACCTCAGAGGGGCCCATCATGAGAAGAAAACTGGACTCCTGGATAAATGCCACTCATATCCTCAAAATCGCCAAGTTCCCCAAGGCCAAACGGACAAGAATATTGGAAAAGGACGTCCAGACAGGTATACACGAGAAAGTTCAGGGTGGTTACGGTAAGTACCAGGGTACTTACGTGCCGCTAGATCTCGGGGCAGATATCGCCCGTAACTTCGGGGTGTTTGAAGTCTTGAGACCCATTTTTGAGTTCCAGTATGTCGAGGGTAAATCAGAAACTCCTCCACCTGCCCCCAAGCACAACCATGCATCCGCATTGAATATTGCAAAGAGACAGGCAAGCACAGGCTCGATGGCAGCTGCACCAGCCAGAAAGACTAAAAGTGTGAGCTCCTTAACAGGTGAGCCCCCCAAGAAGCGGGGCAGGCCAAGGAGAGTTGTATTGAACTCAGCAGAACCGAAGTTAAAACACTCAGACACTACTCCCATCGAGCCTGGCCCCAGTATAGGAACATTCAACAATAGGGGGTCTTTCTCGTCCCATTCGCCCCAGCCGCATCCAGCAACATTGTTGAGGCAGGACACAGAACAGGATGCCTTGCAGGTCATGACGAGTAATATGAATTTGAAGAATGATGATTTGGAGTTAGTGCAAAGCGACGAAGACGATGATGATGCAGACGTGGTGGTTCCAAAGTCTAATGGAATAAGCAACCATTTGTCTATCAGGATGGATTCTCAAGGCGACGAATTAATGAATACCAAGGAATTGTTTGGCACCCCGCGAGACTCTTTTGAGAAAATAATACAGTCCAGGTCAAATTTCAATAATCATAATGGACATTCACAAGTATCTCATGATCCATATAGCCTCCTGCAGTACCACCAACCAAGTTTAGCCAAGGTCAGCGATACATTGTACTCAGAATATTTCTCTAATTTATTGACATACTTTTTGGACGATTCAAAAATACGATCCGATAACATTCCTGATAGAATTGCAATACCACCCCAGCCGATAGCCAAAATCAATATAAATCAGGCAATTGACAATGATGGCAACACATTATTCCATTGGGCATGCTCAATGGCAAATATTTCTATGGTGGAGTTTTTGATGAGTACTTTCGAAATTAGTCCCGAAGTCAGAAATAACCATGGAGAAACCCCACTAATGTTTCTCATTAAGTTCAATAACTCGTACCAGCTCAAAAATTTTCCAACCATTCTTCAGCTCTTACTAGAATCGATATTGTCGGTGGATAACACGGGCAAAACAGTGTTGCACCACATTGCAGCCATAGATAATGATAAGAAGAACAAGGAGAGGTTTTCCAGATACTACTTAGAAACTATTTTTGACAAGTTAGTTGAAACACTGGATGACGATGAACAAGTCGAAGATAATGGAGGTGAAAATGAAGTGGACAACAAGGAAACAATTCGCAACAATAAAGATTTGATAACTAAATTTACCAACCATCAAGACTCCGATGGAAACACTGCATTCCATATTGCTGCATACAGCTTGAATAAGAAGTGTATCAAGGTTTTCATAAGTTATCACAAGTACATTGATTTCACATTACGGAACTTGGTGTCATACACGGTGGAGGATTACTTGGCATCGCACAATTTCGTGTTGAGGCTCGGCCATGAAGAGATTGCGGAAGGCAATGAAGATCTAGATGAAGGGTTGGTTAACCAGGTCAACAATGGAACGACACACAGTTTTGAAAGCGAATTGTACAATTCGAAGATGGCGGTGAATCTACAGAATACGACTTCGAATTTGATCACGGAAAAGTTAACGGAATTGGCCTACACCATCGACAAGGAGTTGAGTGAAAAAGACGAGGTGATTTTATCGTTGTTTAAGATCCTCAAGGTGACCAACCAGGGGAAGTTAGAGTCGCAGAAAAAGGTGCTATCGTTCTTCAAATTGGACCACCTCATCGAGGATTTGGAGAAGGCGTTAAAAAACAGCAATCCCCATGACTTGGTGATTGACTCCAACAAGGACCGGGTGATTCAAGAGGAGATCTCGAGGGTAGTTAACGACTTGAGCTACCTGTACTTAACCAAAAAGAATGAGTTGGACGAGCAGAGCAACAAGTACCATGGCGTCCAGGAGAAGTTGCAGATGAAGCAGTTGGAGCAGATAATTCAGCAGGAGTTGAATCACAACCAGGACACACAGGGCGACCAGTTTGAGAAGGCGGTAGAATTGACGGGAGAGGTCATCAAGAGACAGAGGCTTCTCCGTCAGGTTCTCGCCAAGCAGTTAGAACTTGTTCCGCAGACCTCCAAGGATGGCGACGCCGTCAAGGTAGAGAACGGTGAAAAGCCGGGAATCGTGTCGAAGTATCCTCAAGAAGATAAATTGCACAAGTACTGCAAGTTGATCTCGTTGTGCTGCGGCATGAATGTGGGGGACGTGGAGAGCTCGATCGATCTCATCGAGCAGTCGTTGTTGAAGGGAGGAAAATAGCCGAAATGGCCTGTATAATGATTGTAATTGTATATTAGCGCAAGCGATGTATTATGTATTATTAGCGGTTGTAGAGGTGGAGTGCAAGGAGCAAATCAAAATTAATGCAGGGGAGCCATTGGAATTAACTCAGGAGCACATCAGAATTAATTGAGGACACATCAGAATTAATTGCGGAGCACATCAGAATTGGCACTTCAAAATTAATCTTGTCCATGGAGACCGGAAATTATCATACCCGCAAAAGCCATCAGAATTAACCATCACAGAGATAGCACGCCCAGTATACCAGTAAGGTGGAACAGCTTACACCGCGCTCAAACGCGAATTTGCTAGCATTTGTCAGACGGAACCCTCATTGGCTAACCGAGACATTGCCAATCCAAAGCACCCCAGAGTTGACCAACTGAACTGTCAGAGCCATTGACCACCTCCACTACCCGAATTGCTAGCTTCCCAACCCGAGCCATGGCAATCCAAATACCCGAGAATTGACCAAGCTGAGAACCCCGAGCAATTGCAATTGACCATGCAAACCTTCAGAGGGTCCCCGAGTTTGACCAAGCTAAGAAGCCGAGAATAACAAGCTTGCCCCGAGCAATTGACAATGCCACACACCCTAGCAAGAACCCGCAATTGAACCCGAGACCCACTGGACCACCCCTCCGCTACGCGTGGCTAGCCGCAGCATTTTCGGGTACTGGCGATTCGCAATCGTTATCGCATGATAGCCAGCGAGGGGAAGGCGAGGGGAGCACGGAGTCCGAGATCGCGTGGTGGAGCCCCAGATTGCGTGGCACGGTGGTGGGGCCAAATCGTAGCCCTGGTGGTGGGGCACGAGCTTGCTGCTACAGCCACCACCACTGTCTACCGCCAGTTACCGAGCGCTACTCCATCGGAAAATGACAGCTCGGTAACGGCCGCGCGCGCAGCGATAACCGAAATCTCCCTACTGCCATACCCGCAAGCTCCCGAATTATACCGCAGCTCGGCGATCTTCCGACTGGCACTGGCACCGGAATCACCACCACCACCAACGCTACCACCAACACTACCTTCCCAGCCCCACACCACCACGAGTGACATCCCGGCGGGTGAAACCCCACGAGTGACACTTCCCTGCCTTCCCTGACACCCTCTGGCTTGCTGTGGCACTCCCCCCTCCTCCCACCACCGCGCGCGGCCCACCGTCAGTAGCCGAACCCTCGCACTGGCCCTGGCAGTAGCTGCAAAAAAAATCTTGCTCGGCATCGGATTATCTGCACCTGTCTCCGTTTGCCTCATATATAACCGCCCAATCCCCCTCCCTGTGCAGCCATCACCAAACCATTCTAGCCATGGCCTCGCTCCACTCCAAGAAAAGCGACTTTGGCGAACGCCACGAGAACTTATCGACCTCGTCCTCCAATGAAACTGAGGACGTGCTTGCACTTACCGTCAGCAACCACCCTGGCCACCACCAGCACTACGCCAGAAGAGGGTCCATGTCGCTGGAGCACTACTCCGTGCACCACATCTACGGTGACTTGGACTCCGAAGACATCGACATGCAAAGAATCGCCACCAGAAACACTATCCTCAGCGAGCTTGCCAACAGAACCGGCGTGGAGGAGCTCGACTTCCACCACGACCTCGAGAAGGGAAAGGAGGCGTTGATCCCCGAAAGTGCCATCACCATCGAAAACGCAGGTGAGGAGTTCAACCACGTCGACCCCGAGTTGATCACCTGGAACGGTCCCGACGATCCTGACGCCCCAAGAAACTGGCCTGCCTTCACCAAGATGTACTTGTTGGGCATCGTTTCCTTCTACGCGTTGGTGGCACCCATGTCGTCGTCCATGCCATCGCCTGCCATGCCTGAGATCGCCGAGCAGTTCCACATCGACTCCCCCACCATCTCGTCCATGGTGGTGTCGATCCAGATCTTGGCTTGGGCCTTGGGGCCCTTAGCCATTGCTCCATTGAGTGAGCACGATAATATCGGCAGAAAACTTGTTTTGGACATCTCGGTGTGGATGTCCCTTTTCTTCAACATCGGCTGTGCCCTCTCCAACAACACGGCCCAGATGATGATTTTCAGGTTCGTGGGTGGCCTTTTTGGCTGTGTGCCCTTGAACGTCGGTGCTGGTGTCATTTCTGACTTGTATGGTGCCAGATCAAGAAACTTGGCCTTGGCCGGCTTCGTTTTGGCTCCCTTGTTGGGCCCTATTTTTGCACCAATTGTCTCCGGCTTCATCGTCCAATCCTTGAAGTGGAGATGGGTTTTCTACGTCTTGAGCATGTTCAATGGTGTGGTAGCCCTTATCGGTACCATTTTCTTGAAGGAGACATACACCCCTACCTTGTTGAGAAGAAAGGCCAAAAAATTAAGAATCGAAACCGGAAACACCAACTTGCATACCATCTACGAAATTGCCGATGGTGAGACTATGATGAGCAAGATCATGTTGACCATGACCAGACCTATCAAGCTACTCTTCACCCACCCAATGATTGTGGGATTGGGTTCATTTATGGCTTTCACTTACGGTTTCATGTACCTAATGATCATCACTTTCCCAACTATATTTGGCAAGGTTTACGGATTTAGCAAGGGTGTTACTGGCTTGATGTACATTCCTATGGGTGTTGGCTTTTTCCTTGGAGTCATTTTCTGGACCTACGCGGTGGGCAGAGTTTATGAATCCAAGATTGCCAAGAATGGAGGTGTTGCCAAACCAGAGTTCAGATTGCCATGTTTATTTCCAGCAGCCATTGTTTTGCCTATCGGGTTGATTTGGTTCGGTTGGTCTGCCGAAAAGAAATTGCACTGGATTATGCCAGGCATTGGATCTGGGTTATTTGCGTTTGGATTCGTTTGTGTCTTCCAATGTATCCAAAGTTACTTGATCGACATGAACCCAAGATTTGCTGCTTCTTCTGTTGCAGCAGCAGCATTATTCAGAGCGTTATTTGGATTTGGATTCCCATTATTCGCGAACAAAATGTTTGATAAATTAGGATATGGCTGGGCCAATACTATGTGTGCATTCATTGCGATTGTTTTGGGAATTCCCTTCCCAATATTCTGCTACATTTACGGGGAAAGAGTCAGAAAGTGGGCTGACAAGAGATTTGAAACTAGTCAGAGATTGAGAGATCAAAAGAATTTGAGGAGGTTGCAGAGAAAAAACTTGAAGAAGGGCCACGAGGTCGAGTCTGACTCCAGCAGTCAGTAATTGCATTTAGGAAACTTATAGAGATTTATTTAATAATATTAGCATTTAATTTTTAATTGTAGACCATGAATTGCACCCACATTGGTGTACAATTTATCAATGGAAGAAGTCAATGGGAACAAAGTGTCACACTAATTTTAAGAGATGATGGTAACTTCAGAGATTAGAAAATTTTACATAACTAATTAAATCTTGCTTATTATACCATAAGCATTTAACTACTTATCATTAATGCCAGAACCACCGACAATTCAGGTGTGGTGCCTGGTAGAAGATCTCTAGGAAAGTACGAAACGTGACCACTATCACATGACGCACAATCATCAATGCTCTATACCCGATTTCCATCAACTTCCCACCTTCAATCTGCCTTGTGGGTTCAAGCACGTTTCGTAATCCCGATTGTTAAGGACGCTCCGTGCTGCCATAGAAGAGGACCAATTGTATTCGTACATTTGACGTTTGTGTGACCGACTGATCCCAAACTAATCCACTACTGTTCTTCACATGAACCAGGCCGAAGCATCACGGTGGTTGTTCCCGTTGCCCAAGAGCATTGACATCTTGCCACGAGCCAACGTCGAGGAGTTCATCAACGACCCCGACTTGGTGCGTGGCTACGTGAAGACGCTTGCCACCTACCAGGATGAAAGACAACGAGTTGTGGCGGTGTTGGAACAGGTGGAAACCAAACATGACGAGATCAGCGAGTTGATCCGAGACTACAAGCAGTTGAGTGAAAGGATCGTCAATCAGATCAAGACGATTCAGACGATGTACCAGGAGTTCACCAACCTAGAGATCGACCAGTACCGGTTGTTGTCGAACAACTTCAACCAGGAGTTCTTGATTACCAACAAGCTCCAGGGGATGTTGGATACGAGCCACGCCGAGTCGCTAGCCGTAGCCAAGCGCATCCAGGAGCTGGGCGACTTTGAGATGCTCGCGGAGTTTAGGGACGCCAGGAAGAAGTACCATTTGCGCAAGGAGAAGCTCAACCGGTGGGGTGAGGAACGCGTTAGCGGGGTGGTGTGAGATAGAAGCGATCAAGATAGAGACGATCCAATGTCCGAACAGTGCGATGCTAAACTCCATGCTCTGGAGCAAGGTTGGCGAGTCCAGCAGGTTGGGCGTTGTGATTACAGAACCGGAAGTGTCGCTTACTGGACGAGCTTCGGCACTACGGACGTGGTCCCTGCATTTCGGCTTTCGATCCTGGCGGGGGGCCTGGTATGCCTTGAAACACATGCTGGGTGTATTCTCTTCAACACGTCGAAAAATACACGCCGGCCCAAAGCAGAAGCGTTCGACAACTGCTAGATTAAGCAACAGAGTCAATGATACATCTTTCGCATGGCTCACTGATAAACTGAACCATCCACCCAGCCGTACCAACTGTCGGCACGTGATGTATACGTAGTCCAACAAGCATTGCTCATAATCGATGAGGGGAGCTAGCACCTTTATCAGCCCCTGTAGCGCCCACACGCCTCAAGGGGCAATTGGGCAACTCGCCTGCAATTCATTCAGCCATTGGCCTATTGTCCTTGGCGTGGCGCTCCCGGCTCGCAGTGGTCCACTACCACTTCGGAGTTTTGTTCCACCGAGCCTTCCCCTCGGCGGAACCGCCGGTACGGTACTGGCGGGAGAACACTCCTGGTACTGATTGCGCGAACGCCCACTAATTTCTTGCAGTTCGCACGATCGGAAAGCCATCCTCTACTCCGACCGTACATGCTCGCATCGCAGGAAAATTTGGCGCCTATTGCTAACGTTCCTTTCCTGCTACAATTGATTCCACCAACATGTTCAGAACAGGTGTTAGGAGCTTCTCGAGCTCCGTCAGGGCCATGCAGCAAGCAGTGCCTCCCAAGCGTAGCGGTTTCCGCACCGCCTGGCGCTACACCAAGGCGGTGGTTGGCTTGACCTTAGCCGCCAGTGTCGGTACCGTCGCTTACAAGGTGTACCAGGAGTCCCGCCCTGCTGACCAGGTCAAGCAGGTGCCATTCTTTGAGAACGGCCAGAAGAAGAAGACCTTGGTCATCTTGGGCTCCGGCTGGGGCTCCATCTCCTTGTTGAAGAACTTGGACACCTCCTTGTACAACGTGGTTGTTGTTTCCCCCCGTAACTATTTCCTTTTCACCCCATTGTTGCCTTCCTGTCCTACCGGAACCGTCGAATTGCGTTCCATCATCGAGCCTGTGCGTTCTATCACCAGAAGAGCCCCTGGTGAGGTCATCTACTTGGAAGCCGAGGCCACCAACATTGATCCTGTCAACAACGTCGTTACCATCAAGCAGTCCACCACCGTCCACTCCGGCCACTCTGGTAAGGATACTTCTTCTTCCAAGTCCACTGTCTCCGAGTACTCGGGTGTGGAAGAGATCACCACCTCCTTGAACTACGACTACTTGGTCTTCGGTGTGGGTGCCCAACCATCCACCTTCGGTATTCCCGGTGTCGCCGAACACTCCACCTTCTTGAAGGAAATCAGTGATACTATCACCATTAGAAAGAGATTGATGGACTGTCTTGAAGCCGCCAACATCTTGCCCCAAGGTGACGAAGAAAGAAAGAGATTGTTATCCATTGTCGTCTGTGGTGGTGGTCCAACCGGTGTTGAAATTGCCGGTGAGCTCCAGGACTACATTGACCAAGATTTGAAAAGATGGATGCCTGAAGTCGCCAGTGAAGTCAAGGTTACCTTGGTTGAAGCTTTGCCAAACGTTTTGAACATGTTCAACCACAAGTTGGTTGAGTACACCAAACAAGTTTTCGAGGACACCAACATCAACTTGATGACCAACACCATGATCAAGAAGGTCAGTGACAAGACTGTCACTGCTCAAATCAAGAAGAAGGATGGTTCCAGTGCAACTGCCGAAATTCCTTACGGTATGTTGATCTGGGCCACTGGTAATGCTCCAAGAGATATCACCCGTAACTTGACTTCCCAGATCGAAGAACAGAAGAATGCCAGAAGAGGTTTGTTGGTTGACGACAGATTATTGGTTGACGGTACCAACAACATCTATGCTCTTGGTGACTGTACTTTCACAAAGTACGCTCCTACCGCTCAAGTTGCCTTCCAAGAAGGTATCTACTTGGGATCTCACTTCAACAAGTTACACGAAATCGAAACCACCAAGTACACCTTAGCCAAGCCAACCGCCGCCGACAACACCGAAAGATTGGCCAAGAAATTGGCCAAGTTGCAAGAAAAGTTGCCAATTTTCAAGTACAACCATCAAGGTTCATTGGCTTACATTGGTTCTGAAAGAGCTGTTGCCGACTTGGTTTGGGGCGGATGGTCCAACGTGACCACCGGTGGTACTCTCACCTTCTTGTTCTGGAGATCGGCCTACATCTACATGTGTCTCTCCGTCAAGAACCAAATTTTGGTTTCCTTAGATTGGTTTAAGGTTGCTTTATTCGGAAGAGATTGTTCCAAGGAATAGACTCAGGGAATCAAATAGATCTAATTCTCAACTTAATTTATATGCACCTTTTGTAGAATGCAAATTCCGATTAGATAAGGATGTTATCAACTGTGTAGTTCATAACTCATCCTCATGGCACCAAACCCTCGCATCACGTGTCCCCAGTTGTATCCACTTTTTTGCAGCCATCCCTTATGGCTTTCCATCCCATCATGTCTTCTTTACTGTATACCTTTCGTGTCAGAAAGCTCTCTACATTCAAGAGTGATGGAACTTGGCACCACTATCCGCAACGAACCGATCTTAGTGTACACTTCTTCAAGTTGAGAATGGACTCTGTCATCACCGTGTCTGCCATGTGGAAAGGCACTACCCTAGTACGTATAAGGTGTGAGAGGAGTGAATAGAGCAGCTGATTAACATAAAGGAGAGAGTGGTCCTAGAGCCTACCGTCAATGTGGTTTCCGTTATTGCAAAATACCCTTCGATAGGCTACAAACAGAGTGATCCATATGGTAAGTTGTTAAAGCGGTTCCAGATTAGCTTCAACGACCAAGATGAATACGAGAAATGCTACAAATGCATGCAGGAATCGTTGAAGCTACAATTAGTACCTGGAGAACTGGAGAAGAAGTCAGATGAAGGCACTTGGTACGACTCGATGTCGCAGATGCTCTCACAGGCATCACAATCAATCGAGGCATCACAAATTGTACCCGATACTCAAGTTCCTGAGCCGTTCGAACAATTTGCTTCCCAAGCACAGGCGATATCAGTTCAGCCGCCACTTTCACAGCTACCTGAAGCTAAAACTATAGTTCCTTCATTCATACCATCGTATATGCCAATTTACTACCCACCACCACCGCAACAGAATATCGATCTTGCAGGATTCTTCCACAAATCAAGTGACCAGCTTCCGAAGGCCTCTACAATCCCAGAACTGGATTTAAGATCAATGATCATTAAAAACTTACAAGACGAAGACTTCCGTGAATTGGTCTTTAAAATCGACAAGTTGATCGGTACCGATAATCTATAAATTGCCTATATCTATTTCTAAACTGCTATCCAAATTGACTATTCTCTACTTTAACCCATTTTTTAACAGTTAACCCATCTTTATGTTCGATTTCCTCTTGCACCAACGTATATCCATAAAACCAGGGCAAAAGCTTGAAAAGAAATACCCAATAGATAGAACACAGCAAGAGGATGAACAAACCGAGATATGCATAAGAAGGCCAGTTCTCGAGGCCCTTTGGATTTGGACTTTTAGTGGTTGCAAGAGGAGAGATGATCAAGTATGAAGAAATAATTATTGTTACAACACTTGCGCTTGTTGGTGCGCGAATTGGTGCTATAACATCCGGGTATCTCTTGCGAATTATGAAAATCCCAATTGCAACTCCCAATGTGAAATATGTTTGTGGATACCCTTCCAAACTGATAATGTAACTATAAATATCCCCTGATGGTGTGAGAGTCAAAACCAAGGTTGTGAACAGGACACTCAATATTAAAGTTGGCAAGGGAGCGCCTCTGGGCCAATTTGAGGACATGAAGCTTGAGAATGGTAAATATCCTTCCCTGAAACATTCCTGGCTTGTTCTTGAAATGGTGTACATAACCACAAATAAATTACCTGCTGCACAGATAAAAATCGAAAAAGTCAAGATTTTTCTTCCGAGTATCTCCCCAAACAAATGCTCGAAGAGCAATGATCCAACCAATGTCTTTCCGTTTGCAAACTCCTCGTCTGGAATCACAATCAAGTAAGCAAGGTTAGTGAAGACATAAGTGATCAAAGCTATGAGCAATGAAGTGGGGCCCGCGATCTTGAACACCCTGACAGGGTTCTTCACCTCGTTTGATACAGTGTGTACCGCATTCCAACCCGAGAATGCAAAAGATGCCTTGATGACACCACTGGCGAACAGTGACGAAGTCACTTCTGCCTTCAACGGAAAGAAATTATCCCAAGTCAAATTTGAGTCTATATGAGAGACAGATGTGGGAAAGAATAAAACGTAGAATCCTGTAATTATCATAAAACCCATTAATCCTAATTTTAAACCGCCAATGAAGTTTTGCACCAAGACACCATGCGACATGCTAAGTCCATGAATCGCAGCCGTCAAGTATACGAAGAATAAGCCAGTCAACCTAATGCGAGAGTCATTCGTTTCAATGCCTAATGATCTCAACAAATACTCACCAATAACTAAGCAGTTTGTAATTGTGAAACCAGATATGATCGAGAAGACCAGAAACGTAACGCTTGCTAATAGTCTTGGTCTATCATATATGTACTCCAAGAACACCTTAGTCCCCCCACTTCTAGGCACCAATGAACCGAGTTCGAGATACACACATAGGCCACAGAATGCCATAATCGCAGCGACTAGCCAAGCAGCGAAGAAGAGCGCAGGCGAACGCCCACAATCCTCATAGATTCCACTTGATATACTGAAGATTCCTGTACCCAATATTCTTGATACGAATAGGACAATTGTTGAGAATAGCCCTAGATGTCTGCCTTGAGGTGCATTCTCCAATTCACGCAAATACAGCACTGAATCATGCAATTCTAGCTGAGTTGGAATGGGGAAGTCCTCATTCCGAGAGCTTGAATCGGAAAGAGCCTCGATGTCCGTGGAGACTTTGGGGGTCTTTATGAGCTGCTCTCTATCGGACATTCTTGATAAGTCCAAACTCTATGCGGATTTAGTTAAGTATTTATACGCCCCATTACAAATATGGAGGCGTCGATCAATTGTGGTGGCATCAAAGATAAGGGCCAGGAAAGAGCACGTGATTGAATCCTCTCATCCTCACCCAGATTACATAATGATTACTATGGACACAATCCTTCTACAGATCGATCACACGTATTAGACGATTACATTATATTAAAAGAATACTTAATTCAATTGCATACATTATCTATTTGGGCATACCTTGCTTCACAAATTACTTCTTGCCTTTGTTTTTTCTGACCACATAGGCTTCTTTGGCCAACTTGATCAAAGAGTCTAATTCTCCACTGTTCTCACACATACTGTAGAACAAAGATTCTTTGTTGGTAATCAACACGTATGGATTCTCGTACTCAACAACTCTACCAGCATCCATAACCAAAATCTTATCGTAATCGATAATGGTTCTCAATCTGTGAGCAATGGTTAAGATGGTGGAGTTGGAAAATTCTTCTCTAATGGTGGATTGGATCATGGAGTCAGATTTGTAATCAATAGAACTGGTTGCTTCATCAAGAAGAATAACCTTAGGGTTCTTGAGCAATGAACGACTCAAACAGACAAGTTGTCTTTCACCTTGGGATAAGTTACCACCACCTTCGGTGATGGCACCTTCAAGATTGAAGAATTTGTTTTGGTTCTCCCCTTCGGCAGCTTCGGCAGTTTCTTCTGCGCCAATCAAATTAACCCTCTTCAAGGCCTTGAGAATTTGGTCATCAGAGTATTCACCGAATGGATCTAAGTTAGATCTGATGGTTCCAGCAAACAATGTAGGATCTTGAGGGATGATGGTGATGGCTTGACGTAAGTTTCTCAAACCGATCTTGGTAATATCAATACCGTCAATCAGAATGTTACCGGTTTCAGGATCCAAAAATCTAAAGAAAGCAGTAATGATAGTAGATTTACCGGCACCAGTACGTCCGACAATACCCACCTTGTTGTTAGACTCAACTTCGAATGAAACATTCTTAATGACTCTTGGTAAAGAAGGATCGTATCTCAAAGACACATCCTTGACAGAGATAACACCTCTTTCTGGCCATGAAGCTGGAGGTTCGGTTTCAGGAATCTCGTATGCTGGCTCTTGTTCGACTTCGAGGTATTCTTGTAATCTTTCCACGGAGTTCATGTTCATTTCAACATTGGCATAAAGACGGACAATCCATAAAGCGCTTTCAGCAAAGGCAATGGCATATGACAACGAGATACCGGCCAAACCAGCATCAATTCTACCGACTGAGGTCAATACAAAGATACCAGCGAAGAAAGCAACCAAAGAACCCACCAAATCAATACGAAGTGCCAACCATCTGTTAGCGACCCACAAGTAAAAGAAAGGTCTGTTGTTACTGTCAATGTAACTCAAGTTTTGCTTCATGAATCTGGATTCAACACCATAAGCTCTGATAGTAGCGACACCGTTCAATGATTCAGAGAAATGTTGATGGATTGGGGACTTAGTGATAGACTCGTATCTCTTCAATTCTCTGGAGAGAGTAATGTAGAAGATACCAACCAAGTAGTACATGAATGAAATCAAAATGGCAAAGATCAAGAAGCCAGGAGTAATAAACACAATCAAGGCCAAGATGGAAACACATTGAACGAGACATGCAAAGACACCTTCAGCCATTGGAGTCAATTCTTGATCAATGGATTCAATATCTTTCGAGAATCTGTTCATGATTCTACCAATTGGGGTCTTATCAAAGAATCTCAATTTTGCTTGTAAGATTCTTGTCAACACTTCCTTGAAGATTTTGTTTGAAGCAGCAACACCACAGAAAAAAGTAACGAGGACTCTGATAGATGCAAGGAAGGCGTATGCAACACCAATGACACCATAAATGGAAATGTAATACAAAGTGTTGTGTTCTTCTCTGTATGCAGCGACGGTAGCTCTAGCAGTTCCAATCCAAGAGAAGAGACTGAAGAAGTAACGAATAACAGGGAGATGCTTGATAGTGGACACATCGTGCGAGGATCCAACAACAGTCATAATCATGGCGTTAACGGCGTTGTCACGAGAGCTGTTGAAAGACCAGTTCTTTAACCACCAAGATTGACCCATGTAGACACCCTGTGAAAGACCAAATGCACCAATGATCAAGGTCCAGGTCCAGAAGCCACCCAAATACTTGGCGTAACCGGCATAAACCTTCATTCCAACGACACCAATAGCCTTACTTTCTTCTTCGACCAACTTACCATCAGTCTTTTTCACGATTTCTTCAGTTGGGTCTTGGTCCTGGATAGATTTCAATTTGCTTTCAATGACGGCAGCCTTGGCCTTCATGTCAGAATTCTTGTCTTCCAAAGAGGTCAAGTTGGTCGTAGATTGTTCTCTGGAGTTCAAGACTGAAGTTTTCACTAAATCGTCGTCACCAAGATCACCAGACTTCAATACTTCTTCAGGAGTACCTTGGGACTTGGCTCTACCATTGTCCATAACAACAACATATTCAGCTTTTTGAATAGTCAAGGCAACATTGTGAGAAACCAAAATACAAGTTCTTCCTTCCATCAAAGGACCAGAAATACAGTTTTCATAGATCCACAAGGCAGTGTGTGAATCGACAGCAGACAAACAGTCATCCAAAAGAACGTGTCTGGAGTTGGAATACAAAGCTCTAGCCAAAGAAACTCTCTGCTTTTGACCACCAGACAAAGTGATACCCTTTTCACCAACTTCAGTAGAGTCACCAGCACTCAAAATTTCGAAATCACGAGACAAACCACAGGCTTCCACAACCTTGTCATAACGGTTTTGGTTGAATGGGGCAGAGAAGGTGATGTTGTTTCTGATGGTATCGTTCAACAACCAAGCAGCTTGGGAACAGTAAGCAACAGATTCAGTTAATCCTGTTTGAGGGTCAACAACCAATTCATCTCTTGGAATAATACCTGGTAAGAAAACCTTACCTTCAGTCAAGGTCATTTCACCCAATAAAGCTAACAATAAAGAAGTCTTACCAGATCCAGTAGGGCCGATAATAACGTTCAACTTTCCAGGCTTAAATTGAATGTCCAAATTTCTCAACTTGAAATCTTGATCAGACTTCGGATTCCAAGAGAAAGTAGCTTTTTCGAAACCAATTTCAGGGCTGTTAGGACCAGCTTCCTGGGCTAACTGATCATACTTCGAGGTTTCCTCTTCGTCCAAAAAGTCAGCAACTCTATCCAAAGAAACCTTGGATTGAATGACGTAGGCAGTCATATCAGACAATTGATCTAATGGGGATCTCAAAAGGGTGAATAAAGATAAGGAAGTAAAAGCAATTGGTGCAGTCAAAGTGTTTCCTTGAACGATTGTGTAACAATAGAAGGTCAATAAGGAAATCAAAGTTGGGGTGGTAAACCAAACCAAAGCACCACAAGCCCAAGCAAAAAGTCTCATCTTCAACATGTAGATTTCTTCATTTCTAATCTCCATGATGTTTTTGAAGAACTGATTTTCCCAAGCAAAGAATTTAATAATTCTAATGCTTTGGAATGTTTCGTTAAGTTTTTGGATTCTTTTATCGGTAACAGCCAACATTTCCTTTTGTTTCTTAGCGACAAACTTGGCGATACTGTAGTTCAATGGGAACAATGCAACAACGGCTAAAGAACCGACAAGAGCACTCCATCCAAGTAATCTGTACAATAAGGATACACAAATGAAGATCATAAGAATGGAACTCACAAAGTAATGTAAGTAACCACAGATTTCAGAGACCTTGAAGGCATCGATGGCCATCAAGTTGATGATAGCACCTAATTCCGCTGTCTTCTTGGAAGTCTTTCCATCTTCAGATTTCTTAGTGTTGTCTTCTTCTTCCTCTTCTTCTTCTTCAGTAGTGCTCTCAGAGACAGTAATCTTTCTTCTCAAGGCCTTGGCGTAAACCTCACCGATGATAATTGCCTTCATTCTAACACAGACTCTTCTTCCCAAGTATAAAGAACAACCAGAAGAAATGGAGTCAATGATCTTAAAGATAGGCATCAAGCATACAAATGTCCAAGCCAACATCTTGGAGGAAGACTCCGGGCTATCGACGTATTCCAACACTCTCTTTAAAAGGAGAGAAGGAACAAAGATCAAGAAGGATTCCATGATGGCCCAAAAGGCTTGAATAGCAAATAATAATTTGAAATGGGAGAACAACTTAACGGTGAATCTGAATCTAGACTTGTACGCTTCAAAAGACTTGAGGATGTACAAGGCATAATCATCTTCTCTTAAGCCCCAGATATCGGACATTTCCAATGGTTGGTTGTAAGCCTTCCACACCATCTTGTCGATCCAAGTGTAGGTGATGAACGAGAAAATACTAGAAACATTTTCTGGCGAAGGAGCAATACCATCACTGGTGTAGTATAATTTAGAGGGTTTGTCGCCCGCAGTGGCGGTGAAGTTCAACACAAGTAGAGTAGCGGAAAGAGCAAATTCCACGATGTAGTAATTTTGAACCGTGTGGTTTTTAATGGTTCCAACCAATGCAGATCTAAAAGTTAAGATGGAAGTTAAGAAGTTGAAGAAGTAAATGGTGGTAGAATGGATCCACAAATTAGGCAATTTGATATTGACTTTTCTCAAGTTTCCAACTCTGATAGAAACGATGACAAAGACGTAAAACCAAAAGGCGGTCTTGATGAATGGAACGTAGGAAGCGTGTTTAAATTCCTTGATGAGGTCGCTGACGAAGAACAACGATGCAGCGAGGGCTAACTGGGCAATGACCAACAAGTATTCTAAGGAGACTCTCAATCTCTCCAAGGGACTCTTGTACACCAACTCGACCTTGCCGTGGGGGGTGCCGTCTTCGTTGGTGTCGGGAAGTCTGACCAAGTCGAAGTGACGGGCCTTCAACGAGACCAGTGTGTTGGCTTGGTCGATGGAGCCGTATGCATCCGAGTTGGCGATGAGCGGCTGGGTTTCTGCCGTCTTGGTTCTGTTGAGGGAGCGATGATACGAGGCAACACTCTTGAGTAAGAGAATAGACAACGAGACTCCGCCAACAACGAGGGGGGGATACAGATTGAAATATCCCCGCGCACACTTGGTGAAGTCATCATAGACCCATAGATCACAACTAGTCGTATTTCGGGACATGTTGTAGGCACTCGAGGATAAAGAGATGTATGAAAAAAATGGAATTAGGGTGCGGTCCAGATGAGATAAGCGGATGGGCCATAGTTAGTAATATCCCCTCCAGAGATGGTGGCACCGTGCCGTCCCAATTGCGCGCAATTGGGACGCGCGAATACTGCGGCAGAGATACAAACTAACGGTTTGTACCTACGATAACTGGCCCAAAAGGGCGGTCTTTTTCCTAATTAATGCCGTTGGTTAAACGGAGCCATTCCAGGGCGGCTCGGAAACGAAAAAAGATTGGAACGGGCGGTGAGTCATAGAATGGAGGATTAGACGGGCAGATAACGTGCGGGAAGCCGAGCAGCTAGTGCCGGGATACTGGCAGGCAGCTGCTGCTGTGGAGGGAAAGCCGGGATGCCGTGAAGGATGGTGGAAGGGCCCTTCTTGTCACGTGATACATACCATTCCGCACGTCATAGGGAAGATTGTGGCAATGCCAGAATAGGCGTCGTCTTGCCCCGAAGAGGCGTTCTCTGCAAGTGAGCCTGGACCATCGAAGATCTACTAAACCCTGATGATAATCATCGAACAGGCAAAATTTTGGGCAGCCGAACACTGGCAGGTTCTGCGACCATCCTCGCTTCCAATAGCTTACAATTTGTAGAACTGAAAGACGGCCCAGTTGCGGGCACATTTCAACCCACATTAACTTTCATTTTTGTCTTCACCCTCTGAAAACTTTTTGTGTATTCTCACCCTCCCCAGAATCGATCTGTTGTTGGAATTGAACCATTAATTGGTCTATTCCTTCGCGAAGCAACAGTGGGTACGGAGGTTCCCAGAGTAGTGACGTACGGTTGTTATACGCTGGTTGGGGTTGGCCTGCGACTGGCGTGATGGGAAGACTGGCCTCGCATGCTTCTCGACCTTCTCCATTATTGGCTAGCTTGCCTGTCTTCTACAACTACAAAATTTCAAGACTTGTCGTACTGATGTATATTAATGCACAAAGGGTGGGTTTCTTTGCAGAAAGAATCACGGGAATTCCATGTAGATTACACGTCCGCTTAATCGGAGGTCTTTTGAGTACCACGTAATAAACCGGTTCTTCTGGCGGCAATCAAACCAGCCTTTTGACCAGCAACGGCACCTCTAGAGATAGTAGAGGCCTTACCAATATGTTGATGGTTACCACCACCATGAGGGTGATCAACTGGGTTCATGGCAACACCTCTGGTCTTTGGCCAGGAGTTTCTCTTGACCTTGTATTTGTGGAAAGCTCTACCAGCCTTTAACAATGGCTTGTCGATTCTACCACCACCGGCAACGACACCGATGACACCTCTGGCGGAAGAAGAGATGATCTTCTTGGCACCGGATGGCAACTTGACTCTGGTCTTACCTTCGTCTGGGTTGTGTCCGATAATGATAACGTAGTTACCGGAGGTTCTACCTAAAGCACCTCTGTCACCNGCCTTTTCTTCGACGTTGGAGACAATGGTACCTTCTGGACAAGCACCCAATGGCAAGATGTTACCGACGTTCAAGGA